TATTTCATTAACAAGTTTAGAAGTTTTGAACTCCAAAAGTTTTTGTTTATTGAGGTAATCAGAAACCACTTTTATAGTTTTATACTATTACTTTATAAGATATAATATTAACTAAAGCTGAATTTATTAAAATTATGATAGTCACGAAGTCGTTAAATTTATTAAAATTATGATAGTCACGAAGTTGCTAAATTCACAAAATTAAGGAAGGCAATGAAAGTGGATTTTATAATTATGGTAAGTAAGGATGGTCTTGCATTTACTATTTTTGGGTTATGGAGATTACTATATTAACAGATAACACAATGTCAAGCTTTACTAAAAAAAGAATAAAATAGGAAAAAAAATATTGGGAATATCCTCTAGAGGATGATACCATATTTATAAAAATTATTTCAAGCAATGAATTACTCATTCATATTCAGCCAAAATTTCAATTGAGTTGTTCTTCACATACATTCTTCGATATGTGCAAGTTCAGCATGAAGTGCAGGAAATAATTGCATATTCAGTATGGATTCATCGAATGGTTTTAAAATTAATAAATCATCCAACCTTTGTGCCCTGGAAAGCATTACGTATGTATTATTATTCGCATGCTTTCCTGATAGATCAATAACTATTTTCTCAAGGGTACACCCTTGTGATTTAAAATCAGTAAACGCGAATGCGGGTGTTAAAGGAAATTGAAAGTGTTAAAATCTTTTGGAAATTTTAGAACCATCATGATTCCAGATTATGTGTACACAGGAACGTTTAAGTGAATAAATAAGTACATAATTAGGTAGAAGTGTTTTGTAAGAACCAGATGTTTTTCCAATTAATTCAACAACAATGTATTTTGGTGGATTTTTCAGAATTATAATATTATCTTGAGAAGATAAAACGTCAATAGAATCTTTATCGTACATGATCTGTCTAAGGTATCCTAGTAAGTCATTTGCTAAACTGTTGTTAGTACATATATTGAATGTTAAAACTACTTTCATATTAATGAACAAGGGTAAAATTCCACATAGTGCATTTTCTTTAGTGTCAGAAACAGATAGAAATTTGAGATGGTATTTCCAGTAAGAATTATTCAGTTATAAGAGTCTTGTGCACATAAATATATGATAGTTTGATTATTATTATAGACATGCTCTCTTGTAACATTTAAATTAAGTAGCACATGGAGATCATTTCTTGTTACTAAAAAAGAGGCATTTCTTCATTCTGGAGAATTGATTTTATTATTTCCAAGGACCTTTGATCGTAAAGCTAATATTTGAGTTTTCATAAGATTTTCACAATGCATATTTTCAAGAATACTGGTATAAAAAGGGTCATCTATTTGATGCATAGGAAATTTTAATTGAATCGCATGTTTAACATTTAGTCAAAGGCTTCTACCTGTTGTATTAACGACAGTCCAGGGACTGAACAATAAAGGGTCAATATCATGCTTTTGTTTTATACCTTTGATCATTTGTAAATTAGGCAAAGAAAAAAAGTGATTAATCTTATTCGGCATATACAATGTTACATCTAATACAGGCAGTAACTGCATAAAATCTCTGGCAAATAGAATGTTTATTCTAGCAAATGGTATAGAATCATTAGTCATTTTATCCTTTTTGTGAAAGTATGAAATTGTATAAAGAGTTTCTGCCCGATCATAGTGATTTCATCAATTATAGCATATTCGATTTTAGACCAATATTCTTGAAGTTGGTGTAGGTGTTCATCTGATGATATTGAATTATTATTTTGATACTCATTAAATCTGAATCTGCATGCAGAATGTATAGTACTTCTGCATATGTTTACTGTTGCATTGCTGGTTAGGATTAAAATGATAAGAGAGTCATGTTGTAAAATATGTTCGAAATAGAAGCATATTGCTTGGATGACTCTGGATTTGCCAGTTCTGCCTGCACTGCCGAGATAAAGCAGTAATTGTGATGGGTTGTTTTTACAGATTTGGTTATTCCTTTGACGATAATCACAGAAAAGCAAGTATGCTTTTTTTTGCTTATCATTTAAGCCAGATCTGAACTTCTCTAAGAAATTAGTATTTTTAGTTGAAATAATATTCAAAGATTTATCGTTATTTGTATTATATGAAGGATTTATATTGGTGCATGATGCTGTATTATTTTTACATGTTGAAGTATTGTTATTTTGATTTATCATTTTTCATGAAGTGATTGTACTTTGCCATAATTTTAGTAGATCATTA